GCGAAGCAAAACCGAAAAATAGACTCAGTCCCCACCCAATCATCAGCATCAGCATCAGCGGACGATCTAAAGACGGTGGAACACTGGTCTCAATGCTTATCACCAGGGACAATCTTGATGCCGTTACCGAGTACCCTTTCTACCTTAGCCGCTATGGATACAGCGAATGGATGGAAATCAGACAAGCCATTCAGCAATCCAAGTCGAGACACAAGACACTTATCGATGACACCATCAACGATCTCATCAAAAGGATGTCCAGGTATGTCAAGGTCCCTGACAGGCCAACTCTGAAGAAAGGTGGGAAGAAGAAAATAGAGCTCTCTGATCCTAATGAAGGACCATTCTTAAGGAACGAACATGAAACAAAGTTCTCCTTAGATGAAGTCCTGAAAGGTCATATGAGTACTGATATTTCTATGCTGAATCTTGACTTGCCAGATAAGGGTCCCTATACACCCAACTTTGTGCATTTTAAACCTGAGTTAGGAGTTATATTCCTTGACTATGAAGGTGAAGTCAGATTTCAGAGAATGTCAGAGCTACATCTATGTCCGATGGATCACTCGATTTATCTCTTGCTCTGGATAGATGATAGCATGCCTGGAAAAGTCGTCGATCTGAAGATACGAAGGGAATTCCTACGTCAAATAAACCTTGGTGAAAATGTACCTGATTACATAGATCTAAGTGTTCTAGAATAAGATTCTCTTTGTAACAACAATCCACTTTTCCTTTTAACTTCATGTACTATATCTTCTTTCAGTGATTATACTTATATTCTGTAAGTTCTGGACATGTATTGTAATACTTGTAATATTTTCTATGATTAATAAAATGAGTATTCCACGTACTTCACTGAAAAAGATCCCTGAAAAAAGTAATATGGACACAAGTCTATGAGTTCCGATGTTACTTTTTCCGTTCACTGACAATCTATAAGTCAGTGAATAAGCTTTCAGTTTCAGTTTCCGTACTTGTAATTTTCTTAGATATAACTTAAGAAAAATTCTCAAGCTAAAACTAACCAAACTGAAAAAGATCCCAAAATAGTAAAACGGGACATATACGTTATATGTAATTTTTCCTTAATATTATTTGATAAGATAACTTTCTTTACGTTATCTTGTTATCATCAAATAGGGGGAGATTGTTGATCCTCTCTCTCAGTAATTTGATGATAATCCCTTTTTCCTTCCACGTTGTATTTGTGTTTCTGTATTTTCAGTTCCAGTGATCATCACTGAGTATGTTCAGTGATCGTTGAAGAATTTGCATTGTAAATTCATCAGAGACAACAATACTTCAAGAAGACAACACTCACATCAAAGAACCTTCAGCGAACGTCGAAGACTGAAACTGAAGATTAGAGACTGGCAAGTACGTGATCTGAAGCGGTATTCAGTGATTACAAGCCTGACTACATATGTGTGAAGACTGCTCTAACTTCAGCGAATGATGATGAGACCTCCAGGTCATTCCAACATTTAGCGATCAAAGGAAGCTTGCTTAGCACGATTGTTGTTGTCTTGTCCTTATGCACACAAAGGACAAACCCATACCCTTGCAAAAGTTAGTACGGTACGGAGCCGATTAGTCGACTCTTTGTCCACCAATTTTAGGCAAGGATGTCTGCTAAAAAATAGTGCTTTTGTACTATTCACTATAGCAAAGGACAAGCCTTCCTCTTAAGGCTTGACACGCACTCTAAACCTACCATAGAAGTGTTTCTTCTCCATGCAGAGTGTGCACATCTCTCTGCTATCCTATTCTTACTTCAAGCATCTTCTAGCTTAAGTAAAAGATCTTCCTTTTATCAATATCTTTTCTTGTAATTGCTAAAGATCTGTGTGTATCCAAAGATTGTTTAGATAGGTTTTCTTTACCTTATCTTTTCGCAAACAGTCTTGTAAAATCTGTATTGATCTTCTCTATCAATATATATTTTAAATTTGAAAATATTGTGTTTGTATTCATCCCCCCTTCTACAAACTGTTTCTATTCTTGTAGACCCTTACGGAACCAACAGATGGGTTTTGTAATTGCAAGAGTTTGACATAGAGATAGTGGATAGAAAAGGAGTGGACAATCAACTTGCAGATCATTTGTCTAGACTAGAGAAACCTAGTGAGGACAAAGGAGAAGGAGACATCATTGAAACTTTCCCTGATGAAACAATTCTTGTGCTACAATCGAAGTCACCATGGTTTGCTGACATAGCAATTATTTGGCTTGTGGCATAAAACCTTCAGATTATACTAGCCATATGTTTAAAAAGTTTCTCCATGATACTAAATCTTATCTTTGGGATGATACTTACTTGTTTAAAATAAGTAAGGATCAAATTTTGAGGAGGTGCATCCCAGAAACTGAAGTGGCAGCAATTCTGCAGCATTGCCACCAAGCAGCATATGGAGGACACTTTGGAGGCCGAAGAACATCAGCTAAAGTTTTACAATCTGGTTTTTTATTGCCAACTCTCTTCAAAGATGACCACAATTTTGCGCAAAGATGCAATGAATGTCAAAGAAGTGGTTCAATTTCCAAAAGGAATCAAATGCCACTTAATGGGATCTTAGAAGTAAAGTTGTTTGATGTTTGGGGAATAGACTTCATGGAACCATTTCCCCCATCAAATCATTGTCAATACATTCTAGTTTTTGTTGATTATGTGTCAAAATGGGTAGAGGCTATGGCTTATGTTGCTAATAATGATAAAACTGTGGTTAAATTCCTTCAAAAGTAGATTTTTACAATGTTTGGTACCTCAAGGGCACTAATTAGTGATGAGGGTACCCATTTTGTATATAACCTGTTAAGTGGAGTCCTTAAAAAATACAACATTAACCACAAGATTGCAAATGCCTACCACCCACAAACAAATAGATTAGCTGAACTCTCAAACAGAGAAATAAAGGGAATTTTGGAAAAGGTTGTCAAGCCAAACAGAAAAGATTGGCTTTCAAGTTAGATGACGCTTTATGGGCATATAGGACTGCTTTTAAAACACCTATTGGTATGTTTCCATATAAGTTGGTCTTTGGTAAGGCTTGTCACCTCTCTTCAGAACTAGAACACAAAGCATTTTGGGCCATCAAAGAATTAAATATGTGTCCAAATGTTGCTGCCAATAAAAGAAAGTTCCAACTTTGTAATTAGAGGAACATAGGAATCTGTCCTATGAAAATGCCAAGATCTATAAAGAGAAAACAAAGAAATGACAAAAGAATTTAGCAAAGAGAGTTGAGAGCAGGCCAGCAAGCCCTTTTGTTTAACTCAAGATTAAAATTGTTTCTAGGAAAGTTCAAGTCCTGTTGGTCTGGACCATTCCTCATTCATAAAGTCTATCCTTATGGAGCAGTTGACCTAGTTAATCCATAGGACAATTCTGTGTTCAAAGTCAATGGTCAGAGAGTGAAGTTATTTAAGGATCCAGTAGAAATTCCAGAGCTATGCTATGTGAATTTAATTACCATTTGCTATAAAGCTTCAGTAGTTTTTGGACTTTTTATAAGTCCAAAATGCTCTTTTGTAAATAATTTATTTGCTTAATTTATGTTTTTAAAATAACAAGTTGTTTTTAATATTGTTATTATTTTTGTTGTGTTTTGCAGCTCTATCAGTAAAACAAGAGAATATTGAGGTCTTGTTGCAACACCTAAAAAACCATTGTCCTTGATAAAGATTTTTGAAATTTTTGAAGCCAAAAATTTAAATATGGAACAAAAGACTTGATGTCATCTTGGAATTTAATTTTGATAAAAATAAGGTCACTTTCTACTTTGTCAATAGCATGATGATACATCTCTTGTGGAGAGTACCTTATTGACATTGACATGACCTCTTGCCACCAACTTTTCAAACATCTCTATACCTTTTCATAAGGTTTGGCTTCCCAAGGCATTTTTGTTTAAAACCTCCTGGTTGAAAGTTAAAGGAAAGCTCCATAAAGTACCATTTAGATGCTTCATCCCAAGGCTTACATCATAAGCCATCATCTTAGTCCCTAAAATACTCTTTTCTTGTCTAAAAAGCCTCTTTGCAATCCAAAAACCTACTTCTCTTTTCCCTCCCAAAAACCAACTCAACTGCTTCTCTTCTTCCTTCGATCACTAACTGCTTCCTTGTTCGAAATACCGACCGATGAACGGCCATGGCATGTGTGACAAGGGCGATGGTTCGTGACCCACAACCACCGCAGACGACGGAGCAGGCGCCGACGCAAACACTAGAACTACCAGCGTCGGTGGCCCCTGTACGAACTCCGGCCTCAAAAAGACAACCAACGCGAAGAGGCAAGAAAACAATGTTGTCAAAGAAAAAAGGCGATTCTTCTACTGTAGTCATTGAGGATGACTCGCCGTCGCCACCAACAGTCGCTGTCGATTTATTCTAGGAGAAGCATCCATTGCCACTCCTCCACTTCATATGGTGCCTTCTTCTGCTCTATACTCTATGCAGACCCATTAAAGAAATCAAAGGAGATGAAGAAAACCCAAGAGCTAAATGCAAAAGAATCCCCAACATCATCCACCACCACCAAAGTTAAGGATGTGCTTGAAAGTGCACCTAAGGTATACTCCTCATCTGATAATATTCCCCCTGATGGTCTATTCACCTCTGATTCTGAGGAGGATGAGGACCTTGCCCCAAGGACACAAACAGGGGAGACATTGGATATGATTTCTGAGACTATGGCCTGTAACTTGGTAAATATCACCATTGTTGAAAGGCCTAAGAAAACTCTCTTTTTGACTGCCTCTAGAGAAGAAATAGGGGTGGAGGATGAAATGCCCCAGTTCAGTCCTCATGATCCCATCCCAGACCTCAATGAAGAATTTTTTGAGGAACAAGAGGAACCCCTGTTGTGGTGCCCTCCAAAAAGAAGAAGAAGTTAGGTAAGGCCTCTGCCAAAAAGACCAAAACAGTAGCTGAGGGACCTTCTAGAAAGAGAACAAGGTTAGGAAAAGAGAAGGTCGTGGAAAATCTTGTTGAGTCACTTATGCACTCAGAGAATGAAGCTGCAGCATCACCGCAACAGTCACCTGTACAAAAAAGAAAGAGGGTGGCAACAACCCAAAAGCCAACCACCATTCCCAGACCCATGAGAACACATAGTAGATTTGGTTCAAAAGTTTCTGAGAAGATGCTTGTCAGGTTTCAAAACAGGTTTGGTTTTCCTGATAAGGGATTTGACAGACAGAGTGTTAGGGAGTTTACCTTCATAAGAGAGGTAGTTGAATCCCATGGAATAGAACAGCTGTGTGCAGTCTCAAATTCTTACAACTTGACACTGATTAAGGAATTCTATGTTGAATTAGCAGCCAAAGTACCTCTAAGATCAAGATTAGGGGGGATTCTATCACCTTCAACTCTAAAACTATCAATAGGCTCTATGGCCTAGACCCCCCTAAGAAGAAAGATTATTCAAGAATGTTGAGGAATGCTACCAAGGAGGATTTGATTAAGGTGGCAGATGCAATAGGTAAGCCTGGGGCAGAATGGTAGGAGCATTCGAATTACATGCTTAGGACTTTTAAAGCATACAACCTCACTGCCAATGTAAATGTTTGGATCAATTTTTTGAGGCATTCCATTGCTCCTACCACTCATGATAGTTCTGTGTCTGTGGATAGGATGTTTCTTCTTTACTGTTTGATTTAAGGGAAGTCCATCAATTTTGGAAGGGTTATTGAGAGGAACATCAGGACATGTTTTAGGAGCACCATGAGAAAGATGTATTTCCCCTGTTTGATTACAAAGATGCTGATTGAGAATGGTGTTCCTCAATACTCTGAGGACCAGATGGTGAAGGAACAGGGAGAAAAGTGGAAGATAGATATGAAGACTGTGTGAAGATTGAGGGACAAGAAAGACAAGGGAAATGGAGCAAATGACACGCTCTGTCTGATGCATGACCTGCTGGCCCAAAAAAGCAGCCTTATGGACAGCCTTTTGGAACAGAGAAATGAATTCCTTGACAAGATTGATAGTTTGAAGGTTGATTTGGCTGAGAGGGTGAGGGCAACAGAGAAGAAGACCAGAGGTGACATTAAAGTGATCAAGGCTGATTTGGAAGCAAAGACAAGTGCCCAAATCAAGAAGTTGGGCAAGAAGATGAAGGATCTCAGAAGGAGAATGCAAGGTTGTTTGAAGAAAATGCTAAGTTGAGGGATGATTGCAAGAGGATGAAAAATGGCAACTCCATTTCATCTACTCTTAAGGAGTAGGACAGGTTCTATCATTCTCTCTTTAGCTTTATTCATTTATTTTCTTTCAACTTATTTTAATTTCCTTGAGTCTGGGATTGTCGTTTACACTTTTAGTTTCTTTTCTTGCAAGGAACACTTATGTTGATAATTGTCATATGCATGTATAGCCACGATAATTCTTATAGTCTAGCTACACTTTCTAATAACTTGGTATCACTAGAACTAGCTTGTTTTTCTTGGGAAAACATTTTGATCCACATCATATGCTCATCTAAGAGAGGATATAGGCCTTTGTTCTTTTCTCAATTTCTAGCCATTTGTAGCCAAAGCATAAACAGTCCCTCTATATACTTCCAATGAGGACATTGAAAACGTTAAGTTTGGGGGAGGGTACCATCATGGCTATATTGATCAAAACAACACAAAAAGTGCACAAAGTGCCTAAAGCTTTAATGCCATGTTTGAGATCTTAAACACCAAAAATGTCCCATAGGGGCAGGTGTATATGCAGTCAACAAAAGAGCACAAAATGCCAAATATTGAAAAAAAATCAATGTTGATGCAAAAAGGTGAGAAAAGGCAAAGAGAGGAAAAATATGCCAAATAAGAGTGAACCGGTGACTTCCAAGTCCTATTGATCTTAGATATATGATGTCTTGAGTATAACAAAAAGCAAATGAAGCTAGCTTATGGTTCATACTAATGGTTTGGTAGGATATGCTTAACTGGGATTTATGAAAGCTATATACTGCATTTTTGGTATAATCAACATGTAGTGTGCACTTACTGCCATTTCTTGCAAAATTTTCAAAACTGAGTCATTTTTAGTTGTCTTTTGGTTGCTTAGGGACAAACAATAGTTTAAGTTTAGGGGTGTGATAAGCACTAATTATTTAGTGCTTGAACACCATTTTCTTCTCTTTTCGATAGGCCATTTTCTATTTATATCCCAACTTTAAGTCATTTTATTCCTTTTCTTTGTTATAAAGCAAAAATGAATGATTGACCTGTTTCTGTTAGATAATGGACTAATCTGGATTTATTTTGGACAGGTTGAAGTATTTGATGTTGTGGGAATGTTGCAACATGACCTGATAGTGGAGAAATAGAAGAAAAAGGACTAGGAGTTGACTGACATGATAATGGCTGACTTTTGAAAGACTTCTTATATTTAGGACAATTGTTTATTTTGTAATTAGTTGGAACTTATTGGCTAATTTAGTTGCATTAAAACTCTAAGTTTTACTTTATTGTACTAATGGTTACTTTAGAACTAAGTTGTTGTGAATTGTTTGAAATACCCTCATCTCATCTCTAGTATAAATAGAGATATTGGAGTTAGTTTTTAGATCATCCTCTCCTTCATTTCTTAAGTAGTTGTCTTACTACTTGAAGAACACTTTCTCTCTAAGAAATACTAGTATTCTTTTGGCTAATCTCAAGCTTTCTTTAAGTTGCTTTCTTTACTTGCTCTTAATATTCCGTCATTTATTTATTAAGCTTACTTGCATTTTATTTACGTCATTTATTTATTACATTTTTCGTATTTTATTTTCCGTCATTTACTTTCCGTTATTTATTTTATGTCTTTATTTATCGTACTTTATATATCTTGCAATTTACTTTCCGTCATGAGTAGCTAAATTTCTTAGCTAGGGTGTATGACGGAAAGGGTGAGTTTGTAAATCAAAATAAGGTAGACCCTTTTATGTAACAACAATGTTTCATTGTATCATTTCAAGTTTTATAAAACCAATGACACTTCTTGACGAGTTGATCACTGAAAAGTGTTAAAGTGCCATGGACTCTAAGCTAAGCCATTAATTGCACGTCAATTTGGATGATATGAGAAGTAGACTTGAGAGAGTTGCTAACAAAGAGATTTGTTATCCATATTTTCTAAATTGTTAATTCTCGATAGGTTGATCACTTTGAAGTGCTAAAGTAGAATGGACTCAGAGATGAACCATTCAAAATACGTCAACTTGAATGATATGGGAATCCACTCGAGAGAGTGATTTTCAACAAATATATTTGTTTATCCATATATTTTTAGGACACCATTTGTTACTTTTACTAATCCGGATACCTCATAGAGATATGGATTGAAAGCTATAATATCAATGCGTTGGTGAAGTCCGAGAGGAATACCTTCAAAATAAATGGTGAAAATAGTTGTTACTAATTGTCTGTTGAAGCAATTTGTCAGCATGGTTTCATGTTGTAGCGTTTTGACAGCATTGGTCTACTGGAAATAGTATTTACATCTTACTCTAAGTCATACACCTGGTTTGCTTTTATTATCTGTTATTTCCTGTTAATTATTAGTTGTGTTAACTCTGTTCAAATCAAAGTATTCAAATTCACCTTCTGAAATCATTTTCTTAATATTACTTTCATCTAAACTTTTACTACAATCTCTATGGACGATATCCGGTAATTGTACCACTTTATTACTTGAAAGACGATATTGGGACTAATTGTATACTTGCTTTTGGTCCTGGTTGTAAGTTTGTGGTGTGTTAATACGAACCCGATCAACGTCATACTACTATGACGATTTTGAAAATTAATGTTATTGTATGTTATGATATGGTGACGGTTTTAAATAATAAACGTTAAGGCACGTCATTCTATGACAAAATTTTTGAAAAATAAATATCATTGTATGTCATGCTATGATGATAATTTTGAATAATAAACGTAGATCATTTTCTGGTGACTGTTTTGTATAATAAATGCGACTGTACATTACCATGTGATTATGTTTTGTAAAATAAATGACATCATATGTCATGTTACGGTGACGGTTCTGAAAAATAAATGCCACCTGTATGGAGTACTACAGTGACGATTTTGAAAAAAATAAACGTCAATGTATATCCTGATATGGTGACAGTTTTGGAAAATAAACGTTAACTTATGTCTTGATACAGTGACGATTTTGAAAATAAGTGTAACTATATGTCATGCTGCTGTAAAGGTTTTGAAAAATTAGAGTCATCGTATGTCGTGCTACTGTGAAGGTTTGACAAAAAAATGTTATTGTATGTCCTGATACAATCACCATTGAAATATAAAAGTCATCATATGTCATGCTAAGGACCTATGGTGACAATTATGAAAAGAAAGTCATCGTATGTCATGGTATCGTCACAATTTTGAAAAATAAACGTGATCATACACTACAACAAAATTGAGTTTATAGGACACCTCCAATCTCTAAGTGTCCCAATAGACCACTTTATAGGACTTAATTTATAGAAGCAAAATATAAAGCGTCCTATCTAAAGGTGTTGTAATAAGTTTATACGACACTTTTGAGCGTCTTAACAAGTTTTTAAGAACATTTTTAATAAAAAGTGTCGCTTTAGCAACTTTATATGACATTTTTGAGAAATTGTTCTATAAACTCAATTTTTTATAGGACACTTGTTTTTATAGGACATTTTTTCAAATAGTGTCTTATAAAGTTGATAATGAGACGCTTTATATTAAAAGTGTCTTAAAAAACTTATTACGACATCAAAAAAACGTCATATAAACTTAATACAACACCATTAGATAGAACACTTTATTTTTTTGGTCGTATAAGCTAAGTCTTATAAAGAGGTCTATTATGACACTTACAACTTGGGAGTGTCCTATAAACCCGATTTTGTTGTAGTGATATATCCTGATATGGTCACGGTTTTGAAATATAAACGTCACCATATATCATGTTACAGTGATGGTTTTGAAAAATAAACGTCACTGTATGTCATTTTATGATCACTTTCGAAAATTAAGCGTCAAGGTATGTCATGTTATGATAATGGTTTTTATAAACATCA